GTACGAATTAAAACTTAAATTAGTAATAATATAAATAATAATATATATATATATATATATATATATATATTTTTACGAGACATAATTTAAGTAGAACGTCATGTAGAATGAATATGTCTATTTATTCAACCCTATTCAAAATTAACTGTCTACTTGTACATATTAAAAGTTGAATGACATCTATGTCAGTTGAATCCAAACTAAAGGATATGTTTATGTATTTAATAACCCTTACATTTTATTGACATCTTATATGGTATGTTCATTTATATATTTAAATTCTTATTACTTGTTTTAATATGTTGATACATGATCAAACTAGTGTATTTTTCAGTTTTCGAGTGATATTCATAGCACTTCCTCTAAAATTTCAAGCTATATCAATAATGAATTAATCCCAACTTTAATATGTTAGTATTTTTATGTGATTATGGTATAAAATTTGTCATGTCAATTTGGTATACTTACCATTCGACTTTAAGGGGGTGATATGACGAGACACATTAATTGTAGGCTCATGAAGAAAAACACGACCAAAATGTCACCAACAATTGCTACAAGTTCACAATTCCATGCTTGACCAATAAAATTAATTAATTAGTACATTGAGACATACATACATTTCATTTTCAAATGTTTAGACCAAAGCAGGTAGGCTTGTTGCCATTGAACTTAGAAGCCAGGCCATACCCACACGTGAGGTACCTAAAATTACTCTAAATTCAAAGGTGTGACGTGGAGCTTTATTACTCTATCCTATTGTTTAATTACTACTAATGTCAAATTTAAACTGAAATTAGAGAAAGTAAACAAGCATTTGACACACGGACGGTAAAATGCTTGACTTTATAGGAGACAATAATAAAATAAAACTACCTACTAATTGGACTAACAACAATTTGCTATTCACAAAAGAAAGAGTCGATTTAATTAATGGCGATTATCATAGAAGTTACATTATGATCTTTATTCACATTGTCAATCCCAAGCATACACAAAAAAAGGAGTGTTACATTATTTTATCGACTATGTATATCTTACCTGAAACTGAGATTATATTGAATTGATTATCGTAATTTAAAGTTAATGTTAAGTTATTTGGAACGAGTGGTCCTTGGGAGGGTTAAAAAAAACAAAAAGGCTTTAGGTAGCGTGTGTACAGTAAGAATAGAATCAAATAAGGAAGTGGACAAAATCATGGGATGTGCATGTTTTTTTTTAATTACACTGCCAAAACACGGATCATGCAAATCCTCCTCTGTTTCTGTCTCTTTCTCTAGTACAAACAATACACCAGGAGTTTAATTAATTAATTACTTTACAAATTAAAGAAATATATAGTGGCATTACAACCTAAAATATTACACCAAATTAAGAAGGATTGTAAAGATAGAATTATTATGATGACTTTTGTTAGTATGTTTGACTTGTAGCCTATTGTGGATTTTTGGAGCATTTTAACATTATCTAGATTAATTTTTTATTTGGTGTCTCATTTTTAGAAATTCACATTAAAAGTCTTGCTCTTTAAAAAAAGACAATTTCGTAGGTAAGAAAATTTAAACTTAAAAAATCTTATTTCACTTGTATTATTTTTATATGCTAAATATGTAAATAATTTACATAGTTTATCGAAAAAGGACTGACATTGTATATATATCAATGGATAGTGTAAAGAATTCTTTATATTATTTGACGTAAATTCATAAAATATAATACTCCGTAGCATTATATATAATAAGCGGGGTTTGGTAATAATTAGGCTTAACCTCCCTAATTTAAGGGTTGAAGTCACTATCTAATCTTATTTTACTTTACTTAAACATTGCTATAAATCGTTTAAAAACTTTCATTTTCATTGTTAGAAGCAACCACTATTCACACTTCACTTGACTTTGTGCATGTTTACAGAAGAGAATTTGTTTTCTACTCCATATAAAATACATTATTAAGTAAAAAAGCAAGTAATTAGGATGTTTAGGGAAGTGTGTTAATAAGTCTATAATGTTATTAGGTTTACTGTAGCATTGAGTCAGAAAAGTAGAAAAAGGGTGGTCAGCACAGCACGCTTTGCTTATTGAACCAAAAAAATAAATAAATAAAAACAAATATATTAGTGGTTGCGTGCGTTATGCTCCAATTCCGTTTTGCTGTTTTAAGGGACTGAAGAGAATCTCCTCCCTATATACATAGACATAACTCTCCATCTTTTTATTTTTTTCTAGCTTCCTTCTACTCCATTATTTAACTCTCATATATCTTTATAGTATTATTGCCCTTGAAACTCATCAAATTGTTAGTTGACTTTGTCACAAAGTAATTTTCAAGGCAATCTGGATTCAAGGTATAACAAGTTTATCATAAACAAAAAATGGAAGGTTATTCACAAAAATGGCTTATGCAAAGAGGAGAAGAAATAAATCATGGAAATTCTGAGGAAAAAAAGCTTGAGTTAAGGCTTGGTCCTCCAAATGGAGATTGGTCATGTGGTGAGAAGGATGAGTCGTTTTATCCTTTTAGTTACATGTCAACAACAAAGGGTAACAACAGGGATAATCATGCCCAAAATTTTTCATCATTTCTTCAGCTTCAATCAACGGCACAGAAGCAAAGCCAGAGGGTACAGGAATCAGTTTGCACAAAAACAGCAGATTTGCAGAGCACAGAAAAGAAAAAAGCATTTTCACAAACAGCTACTGTGCAGAACAGCGCTCAGAAAAGGTAACTCAGCTTTTTGCCTCTTATTTGATTTTTTATGACAGAGGATATTCACTGCTGTGGTCCATGCAACGAATGCTTTCTTTCATCTTAGTATTTTCTAGTGTAATGTGATTTCGCAAAGCATTATTTTCCATTACATTCTAAAGTTAACATGATATTTTGTTTTGTTGTATTAGTCAATCATACAGTTTTAATTCCGTCGTGCCTAGCTATTCTTGTGCTATTATTTGTTGAATCATAATATAATAGAGCCGTGTTTCTTTTGTTTGTTAATATATCCTTTTCGTGTACACAACTTTTGATTAACCCGAAATTCTGGATATTCGTTCCTTATTTCAGCATAGTTTCACGGATTCAAGTTATATACAGTAATTGCGTGAAAGACTATTAAAAATTTATCACTAGTGTGTGGTTAATGAAATGTGTTGACGCAATAATGAGTCCTCAAACTGGCTTGGACGTCGCGAATTATTAATATGAATAAATAAATATATGGTAGTAGCAAGTTATCATTCTAAATCTCAAGTATGAAATATCAACTTTACTTATGAACAATTACTTCATTAAACCCTGATTATAATCTTTATCTCATAATGATTTTAGTTAACACCTTTAACAAAACATGGGAGATTAATTTAATCTCAAAATTTGAATCGTGATAATCCAAGTAAACCAAAATATAAAGGTGATTTTTTATGCCCTGTCTTAGCTGTTGTTTAAATTTTTGCTTTCGGCTATAATTTAAAGTTGGTGGGGGATTATTATTATTATTATATACTGAACTAACTTTGAAAAAATAAAATAAAATAAATAGGACTGCACCAGCACCAGTTGTAGGTTGGCCTCCAATTCGTTCCTTTAGGAAGAATCTTGCAAGTAGCAGCTCTGTGAAATCTGCAAGTGAGACACAAAATGTGGTCCCAAATAAGAGTGCCAACAAAAAACCAATGGAAATTTGTCAGAAGGGATTATTTGTAAAGATCAACATGGATGGTATTCCTATTGGAAGGAAAGTAGATCTCAAAGCTTATGACAGCTATCACAAACTCTCTTCTGCTGTTGATCAACTTTTTAGAGGACTTGTTGCTGGTTAGTTACTTTATCCCTTTACCCTCGTCGTTAAGCGCTTCTCTTAACTTAAAAATTCTAACTTTGTTTTGCGAATTAGCTCAAAATGATTCATCTGCTGGTGGGAATAATGAGAAGAAGGAAGACGAGGAGAAAGCGATAAGTGGTTTATTGGATGGAAGTGGGGAATATACTCTTGTATATGAGGATAATGAAGGTGACAGGATGCTTGTTGGGGATGTCCCTTGGCAGTAAGCATCTCTATCTATGGATCTGATACTACTTGTTTTTCCCTTTTAATATTCTCACATTATTAGCATATCTTAATGTTCTCTTTATATTTGGATCACATTTTTCTTATTCTCTTTAACTAAACTAGTACATAGGACAAAGATCATGTGTACGATTTAGTGTTTATTGTCAGTAAGCTAAAAAAGCCAACAACAAAAAAAATTGTTACAACACACTATTTGAAGATTAATGGCTGTAGTAACTTTCATCGGTTCGTTTCTAATTGTTTAACGTTTGATATTTTTCAGCATGTTTGTGTCTACTGTGAAAAGGCTGCGTGTGTTGAAAAGCTCTGAACTCTCTACACTTACTCGTGAGTGCCAAATTGTTACTCTGTTTGATTTGTTTAAACTTCTGCTTGGGAACTAAAATTGGTACACTTTTGATTTGCTTGTTTCAGGTGCAACTAAGCAGCTGACCTAATGAGCTAACAAGATGTAGAGCCAACAGATCTTGAGAGAAGAGAGTGACTTGTTTTGTATGGAATTTGAAGTTTTTTAATTGTTCAAGTGTAGTTGCAAAAGCAAAAAATATGGATGTAAATTATGAATATTGCTTCTAATATTTGTGTTTTTGAAAAAGGCAAAATAATTATTATGATTGTTTGTGCTACAGTTGAGTAGAATTTCGTCATTCAGTATAGTTCCAGTGGTGTGATTAACCATCTCAAACATGAAACACAACACAGACAATGATAGCAAAATTTTATGTTTTGGTGAATAAAGTTGTGTTCACATGCACACATACGACTTGAAATGAAAATTCTGTACGTTTCAGTAAATGATTGAAGATCATCCAGTCAGGTAGTAAAAGGACTCTTTATCCATGAAAATTGTGTGTTTATGAAGGCACTCTTAGGAAAACTCTCCTAGAGATAAAAGTTAAATGTATCTGCTGGAGATATTATTAATTTCATTTTGATGGTACATAAAGGAGAGAAAATACCGAAAACGCTAGAGAGGAGTCTAAAGGTAGTTCCCTCTAGCAAGATATGGCTTTTGTCACACTCCTAAGCATCTTGATCTTCAAGGTACATTGAATGAGAGGCAGCAAGAAGAGCAGCACCAATGCCAGAACCATCATTGGAGTGCACAAAAACGATGCTCGTTGCTAACTCCTCTCCCAGCAAGTCCTTCAAAGAGTTCTCTAAACACATCCTGTATTCTGTATAGTGCTCATACAACCCGCCATCCATGGCTATAACCGTCCTTTCTGAACCACCCTGCTTAGGCGTATCTCTTCCCATCTTTTTCAAGATGCCCAATACACCTGCAGCTGCAAGTCTTGCCCCACGTGTGGCAACGATATTGCACAGCTCAACCACTAGTTTTCTCGTCTTCAAGGAGGTATTAGATATCTAAATGGCAGAAGAAACGATAGTGTGAATTCATGTCTGTTGATGGGTGTATAAACTATCAAGAAGTAAAGATACTACTGTTGATGGAAAAAAATATCAACAACTTCAGTCTCTTTTTTCCTGCAGTTATTCTATTTGATCATCATTTAGGGTCTTTTGTTGAATAATTTTGATGTATACGTATATCGATTTACTGTTTGGTGCCATCTTAGGGGCTATTACAGGGGATTTGGTCATAGCAAGAGAAATTATCCAGTTTTTGGGTACATCGAAAACAGCCTCTCAACCTTCACAAGGTAGGGTAAGGCTGCATATACTGTGTATGTCGTTTTGTTGTTGTTCCAACTTTTTCAGTCTTTGTTTTAAAGAGTGACAGAATTGAAGAGGTAATATTGTTCACCGTATTTTCTCCTGGAAGTTACTCTACAAGGAAAGATGGCATATGTTGTACTCATAGTCGACGAGGAAACCAAAAAGATGCCCTTGTTATATTTTCTACAGTGTAAAGACATAGATGAATAGCAACATTTGTTTTCTTGGTAACAGTCCAAAGGCAACAATATTTACCTCTAAAATATCCTTCAGCTTTTCACCAACCACTTTCAGATCAGAGGATGTGTCATGATGCATAGCAGACATATCAGGTGTCCTGCATATTGTGTAACATTTTTATCAGAGGTGCTGTTTGAATGTGGATAAATGGACAAGAAAAGACAAATACCATGTGATGCAAGTGAATTAGAAACTAAAATTCAATTACATGAAGTATTTCCAAAGGCAAATACCATCTCATTATCTAGTACTGATTGATCATCAAGAAACAGACGTAAATAAAATATGCTTCCTCTAAACTTAAATCTGCCAATGTTCCACTCTTTAGTCATTATTATCTAGACATGTTGCAGAGAGAAATTAATATTGACTTGCAAGATTTTCATCTAATTACAAACAGAATAAATATACAAGTTCAACACTCAAGCCAATCGCCCATTAGAGAGGTGAAAAAGGATTTGCCAATGCTTGTTGATCTTATTAGACCTTCAGCTCTATGCATAGAATTAATGAAAATCTGTTTTTTAAGTTTTTCTTTTTTAATAATCGAGGTATCTGGGCTAGCATGCACCTCGATTAATTCCATAAGACACTTGCTACCTCCCACCTGCATTCTACAAAGGCTTGGACAGATGGAAGGAGTCAACTAATGTTTTTCACTCTGTAGAAACTTCATGGTTCCTAACCCACACCATTGGCTACCCTTGGATACGCTTTTTAGGTGGTTAATAAAGCAAATTTGCATTATAAAATTATTCATCAGCAATTCTGAAGTTACTAAGAAGTACCTTAACACAAATGGTTCCTTGAGCTTTGGAGGGACCTCATCACCAAAAACGCCAGCTTCTTCAGCCACCCTAAGTAGAACTCTGCGTAAAATTTCTCCCAAGTACATGCCAGAAGTCATCTTCTCAAATATCTGTTAGGACGAATGGAGATATTCCTCATGTGCATCTAAGTAATCATAACATAAAGCAAGCCTACAACAAGAAGTTATAAAAAATAGACAAACAAGCACCTGTTCACCAGGATTTAAACTCTCATTATCCAATGCATGATCATACTCTGTCAACGGCAGATGGGATGACCTAAAATTACCCCATTCCATATTGATAACCTAGAAAGAAACACAGGATGCATTTAGCAACTATCAACAGTATCCGAGAGTGAGAGAAAAAAGCAGATCAATAGCTACTGAAAGATTCCAACCATTTCACCAGATTTTGGCACAGGACCATGCCACTTTGGAATTGCCTGCACCCGTTCCACATAAGCTGCATTGGTCCCTGTACCTAAGATAACAGCAACAGCTACATCCTTTTGCGTATATTTACCACCAGCTAACGTTCCAACGGTATCATTCACCTTTCATTAAAACATTAATCAAAATCAATATTTTACAACTAAACAGTACTTAACATGTTTTCTGATAAGTACTTCTATGGCACCACATAAACTCACCAGAGCTGAGACACGCATATCGACACCTTTTCTTTTCATAGCTTTTGTGAGTTCTCCAACAACATCTTGACCAACCTATGTCCAAGCAACTAGCACAAACTTAGATCCATTGGAATTTTACGCAGACCACATTTCAAGTTCCCATTTTAGTAAAGAAAGACTCATATAATGCTATGGAACTGGAATTGCAGTCAAGTGAAACATGAAATGGGAAGAACCATATGTTATGAACTTTCTGATTCAGATGGAGTAATGAAGTTTTACTTCTCATCTTATATAAAACTTAATTGTGCTTGTATTGAATCATCTACAGAGAGAAGCACCAAACTTAGGTTGCACCTAACATTTAGCACTTATCTGCACCTTTAATAACACTGCTTCCATATATGCTGATTAAATCTTAAAATTTCTACTATCAAAGTATTCTTTCAGGCCACACATATTTTAGCGTCTAGGTCAAACACATTTTGAAATATAGATCAGCAGGCTGTTTCAGTATTAGTATAACCAAACCATTCACTCTATATGTTATCTTCAGAACTAGTAGAAAATAATCTGAAATCAAATTGGAAAGAATACAAACAAGCTGCAGAGAGTGGATGGCTAGAATTACAAGGAACTACAATAAGCAGGAAACAGAAAGTAGCAAGAACTATGCATACCGCATCATCAATAGAGAAGCCTTTTGTCCACCGCATAATATTCCCGGAGTTGATTGAAGTCTGCATTACTGGGAATGAGAAGGTGAAACCTAGTTCTCTCTGCTTACCAGGAGGTTGATGAAATTTTTCCTCTTCCGCAGCAACAAATTTTGCAAGCTCAGCCGCAATATAATCAAAAAGTTCCTGAAATCATGTCAACTTTAGAGTTCAAAAGAAAAAAGTTAAAACAATATAGCAGGCTACAACATCTCAACAGGTCAAGTACTTACATCTGAAGTCCCAACCATCAAACTTGGAGGAATTGATGCCTCAGCAAATTCTTGATGAATAATACCACCATCTTTTCCACCCAATTGCACTCGCAATACTCGAAAATTTGTTCCACCAAGATCCAACGCATAGAAGACGCCAGCTTCATCACTAAATTAAAAGGGTATTGATGGAACAAACATTTAGCGCATTCTCAGTTCATAATGGGCTTAAACCAGCCACCATACAGAATACTTCAAATCACTTGAATAAATATGATTGACAACACGACTTGGCTTTACACTCTTTTGGCAGTTTAAAAGAGCACTGTAATACTGATATTCTGGATAGAAACAATGGCTGCAAATCACACATCATAACCAATGCAAAGAAATTTACGTCAATCGCTTATTGGAATGACAATGCTCAGCACATCAATTTCAACTCAGGATATGTCCAGGGGACGTCAGGGGAATTTGAGGAGTAATTTTTACACTGGAGAGCAAAACTCAGTTACCGCTTATAAAGTTTCTCTGTGCTGTATTGCAGCTCTCTCAATGTCCTAAGTACATCAATAGCTTAATAAAACACAGAGGACACACAAAGCAGTAGAAAACACGAAAATACAAATATCAAAGTAGAATTCCCAATTTCCCAATTTCATGGAAATGATATCTAAATACTCCCCAACACTTCCATATGAAACAGAACCAAAATTGAGAAAGACTGTTTTTTTAGCACATTCGTTGATAAAAATATGCCTACATCTTAATCTGAGATCATCGTAGAGAAATTTTTATCAGCGAAAATAGCTTTTGATCCTTCAAATATTCGATTAAACATATTTAACCTTCAATTAAGTTTGACAAATCAGGTTCCACACAACTAACGTCCCTAAAACCCCAGCAGCCAAATCTATAACAGCTGAAATGGTAGAGCATCTAAGCTTCAATTTTGAAACTCAACTTACAATTATTGTCTTACAAAGTCACTTTTTTTGGTGAAAAATACTGAAATCAACAAAGAAATGCAACTTTCCTATATAATAACTATCAGTTCAGTGACCATTTTGAGAAATCAAAACAAAGAAAGATTCAGATTTCTACTATAAAAAAAATCATTTTTTTCCCTTTCTACCAATGACACCCATCACTAAAAACATTCCATTACCGCTAATTTGGTCAAATTAAAAAAAAAAAACAGTTCAGATTTCAATCGATACAAAGGCAATACGTCAAAATGAACACTAACCCAGTGGGTAGATTATCCACATAAGTGATAAGCATCTTGAGCTTACTGCCGCCTTCAGAAGCAAGTCCGGCGTGCATCTCAACAGTCATAGCATCAGCAACTTGCTTAAGCTTTGCATCTTGAGTCTTACACTTTTCTTCAAATTCACGAAGAATAGCCATAGCACGACCCCATTTACTAGATTTCCGCATCCGGTGATTCACTATTAACACCGCCACTGCACACACCGCAGCTGCACCAACCACGGCGACTCCCACCGTCACTTTCTTCATTTTGCCGGAATTTGAGGTTGGCAAAAAGTTGGTCCACTGAGAAAAAAATGAAATGAGTAAAGTAAAGATTTGTGATTTTTTAAGGAGAAATAATAAAAATTACAGAGAGGAGATCGGATCAAAGGAGAGTTCAGTAATTCAATGAGAAAAAAGGGGGAAATTTAAGGTTAAATTTATACATTGGATTAAGGATATATTTACTCTCTATTTATTACAAAATTTACATTTTCATAATTTTGCTTTGAATTAACAGTTAATATTAAAACAGAAAATGACAAAAATAAAGTCTTCGTACTTATGTTTGGTAGTTGGTAAAACAAAAAAAAGTCTTATATGTTTAAATGAATTGTTTCATTCGAGGGAGAAACAAATTTTCAGTCATGGTAAAATTAAGATAGATAAGATTATACTGAATTCTTTTTAGGAGGGGTTTAGATTAGCTTTTTTTTAAAAAAAAAATAATTTTAGAGACCCTCTCAGTTTCGCTTTATAATACTTTTATCTCTGTAATTTATGATATTACGTATTTCTCCCTTATTTCCATTTTATTGTAATCATACTTTAAATATATATTTAAAATAAGTATAAGTTCGTTTAGATTTGGCAATTTTATCCTTATATATGAAAGTTTAGATTTAATTTTCAACGATTTATCTCTATTCGTTGGATTATGTTTATTATTTGCTCGTAGAAATGTTTAACTAGAACAAAATTTGATCGTTCTAATCAAATTTCTCTTTTGGGGGAGTTCATTTTTATCTCCTATTTGAAGAAATTGTAATCGAAAAAATGATAGTTTATTGTGGGGAAAAATCTATGTGAACTGATAAAGGTGAAATGGAGACTAAGAGTTAATATTTGGTGAAAATTGTGGTAGAACTTGAATGAAGACATTTATCTTTGTTTTTTATTAAAAAAACACATATTTGTGTTGATTCATTTTTAATATATTTGTTAAATGAGTTTTTTTATATGATATTTGTTAATATGAAGAGAATAATATAAAGAAGGGTAAAATTCTCAAATCTAAATTAATTTATATTTATTTTAAATAAGTTTAAAGAATGGTTATAAGAAAATGAGAATAAGGGAAAATAACTAATTAAGGAAAATGGATTTTGAGAAATTTTACAAATATTTGATAAGATTATTTTAAATTTAACCTTTAAATATAAGAAGATATTAAAAATTTATTTATTTCATATATAATGTATCTATTAAATTTCAACACGAAATAATACCCTAGAATTATTCGAAAACAAAAGAAGTAGGAAGAACTAACCTATTTTCTAAATGAAATCTTTATACTTTTTTAATTAATAATATATGGTGGAGAACAACAAATTTATACCTATTTATCAACGAATTTTATTTTTTCCCTAAGAAGATTTATTTTGTGAGATGTTGATGTAAGAACAGACATACAAAAACGTCATTCTCCCCAACTTTGTTGGGATGGGTAGGACAATAGAAGAAATATCACATCATATATCTTTCTTTGTTGCTAACTTTTATATTTTAGATATTTATTTCCTTGAGTTGTGTACATTATTAATACAGAAAAATATATATATTTTCGATCATTAATTTATCAACATTTTTGAAGTATAAATTAGATGTTTAACAGACATTTATTTGTAAATTTTCTTATTAATGTATAACTCTTTTTTTAATTTTTTCTTTTATTTTATCAAAATTAATTTTACAAGCACATTAATTTTTAAGTTGATTGTAAGAATACGCCAATACAGGATATAAATACAATTTCCGATAATTAATTTATCAACATGTTTGAAGTATTACTATTTCTAAATTAAATGTTATTGTAAACTTTTCTATTAATAAATGACTTTTTCCTTATATTTTTAAAAAACGAATTTTACAAACACACCAATTTTCTAAACTGATATTTAATAAGAATACATCAATATATTATATGAAAGTGTAAATTAACATTACAAATTCAGATCGTATTAAGATAGAAAACGATTACTAAATTCAATATCATCAACTTTTGAACTATACACTTCTGATACTAGAAATAAAATTATTATTTAAACAATAATCATATAAAAATACTTTAATCTCTTGTTTATTACTCCGATTATTAACTGAAGAAGGCAACTTATAAAGGAATCGATATGATGATATATTCACCTATAAAGGAAATATATGAGTGGGATACACCAAATTAGAGACCTTTTCTTAGGCCAGTTGATCAAAGTGGAAATTAGGTGAATAAATTCTAATATTATTAAATTCTCATTTTTCTTTGACTTTACTTTTCAGTATTAGAAAAATAAAAAATAAAAATAAAAAACAAAAGAGCCTCTCAACTATTTTGACCAACACATTACCAAAGCAAAGAGGTTTTGACTTTTAAACCTTTTACTTTGACCTCACGCAACTTGAATGAATACAATCGTTGACCCTTCCATTGCCATTTTTCACGGCATTCAGTCATGCTATTATTGATTTTAATTTAAAATTATAACGTTCGATCTAATCGATAATATGTATTTTCTCTCTATTTTTGTGATTATTTCAATTGATTTTATGAAATTAATATAGCCCTGTCAATATAATTACAGGAAAACTTTATTTGCCAAAAATTAAAACATATGAGAAAATATTTTTTAGGACAATTTTCACATATAACAAATAAAAAATTTATATTTGTATAGCAAAATTTGCATAATTGCGCTCCATAGCAAATATTGAAGTTGTATAATTCACTATATATATACAGTTGAAGCAAATTGTATAAAATGAAGTGTATAAAATAAGAAAGACAAAGACATCTGGGCAGAGAACTGTATAAAAACGAAGTATATAAAACGAATTGTATTATTATAAGTGTATAAAACGATTATATACAATTTGAATTTGTACAAAATGAGAAAGACAAAAAGACAAAAGAGACTTGACAAGGAATATACAATTGAATCGAATTGTATAAAACGAGAAAGAGGGAAATTAGATACAATTTGAAAATTGTATAAAACGAGAAAGAGAGAAAGACAAAAGAAACTGGGCAGGAGAGTATTTTTATTGTATAATTATAAGTGTATAGGACGAAAATATATGTACTTACATGTGTATATACAATTTTCTCATGTTTTATACAAACAGAAACGCAATTTATACATTTTACTTCTGTTTGTATAAGTGAGAAAGGTGAGGGTGGCGAGCGAAATCTGTAAGAGGGGAGAGAGGGGAACAAAAATATATGTATTTATACAATTTTCTCCGCTTTATACAATTAAAAATATTTTTATATA